AAACTAGAACACTGATTAAAAAATTTTTGTGGACAAATTTCACTGCAGTTCGTAGACCTATAAATTATCGGACTGTCCAACTGTCATTTTGCCAGTATAAACGGCAATCTCACATATGTGTGCGAGAGAGCTAGAGCTAGGCGGGCTAATGATGATTCACGTAACTTCGACTGTACCACCCAGCACCCTACACTTAATTCAACCAATCAGCTAGCTATACCCCTTTTTTCTATTGGGCCGTATCCCTTAAATATCATGTAGAATCCAAAAAATGCAATATAGAATTTAAAATAAAAAAAAGTTAATATCGACTTACAGTATAACTGGAAGTGCCATAGTTCTAAATATTTTAGCTGTGTTTGCCCTACTGCCTTCGCTCGGTTACCAAATTTTCAGATTTATCGGATCAGTTTCCGACGTACACCCTGTATAAACATTTCTGTTAATTGGGGAAAGGAGGCGGCGCCATCTATACATTAAAAGTTCAATTAATTTACCAGTGAGCGCGAGTGTTACAGTTGACTATCTGCTAAAGAATTCTTCCGCAGTTTAGTGCAACGTCTGAGCGATAGATGGCGGCATGAGAATTTGGAACTATTTATGGCAGCTTGATTGGTTAATCGACACAAATGAACGTTCCACTTCAATGAACGAATAATTGATTGCAATGATGTAATAGCTAGAAAATTTTCAAAAAATTAAAGAGCATTTTTAGGTTCCTTATACATCTGAGGTAGCTAATCACGCTGGGATGATCGGTTTTTGTGTTGAGAATAAAAATTGAAAATCTCGAAAACTGGTGGGGCTAGAACGGAACTGAATGTAGATTTGAATTTGTCAGGGCCGTTATTAGTTTACTGGATTTTTTTTATTATTTTAAGAATCAAAATATCTCTTCGATCCTTCCAGAATACATCTTTCTTTTTTTTATCTGGCATAGCAAATACCTTTTCAAGCTTCTGCGATCCCGATACATGATCTACAAAATATATAAGATTCTTATAAAATCTTAATAAAATTTATATTAAAAAGATAAATTTTGACATTTGAATATCTATCTTTTTTTTATCAGGCGCGGTAAACACCTCCTCGACTTTCTGTCAAGTTTCAAGCAAATACTTAGTGGCCACATTTAGTTTGTTAAGGATTAACAAGTATTAACTTTCGGATTGACGGGTAAAAGCGTTCATTAGGGAGTTTTTGCATATCGGTTTTAAGAATACCGTAAACGATAAAGTCACGTGAGAGGGCATTGCGCATGTGCGACAGTTACCGTTGGCGTTTATCGTTACGGTATTCCGATTTCCAACCCAGATTACGGTATTAGTTTACCGTGCATTTAAGATAGTAATTTTGTGTACGATTAATAATCCATCCATTTTTCTTTCATTTGCCGACTGCCTTTTACCGCAAAAGTGTCAAATGAAAGCATAACCGTCAGAATTGAGGTTAGGACACGCTTTACCATTGCGGATAAACGACACGATATGCAAAAACTGGAAACATTCAGTACACGCTATTTGTCAATACGGTATTCAGTCACGTGTTTTTAACGTTTATCGTATTCGTAAATACCTTATGCAAAAACTCCCTAATA